TCGGGAAGGACGGCTGCCCTGTGGGCGATGGAATTGGTGCAGTGCTCATCGGTGACGAATTCATCCGCGCGGAATACGGGGATGGGCCCATTACTGTGGCATAACTCGGCATAACCCTTAAACCGTTGCTGATCGGAGTCAGGCTATACTGCATGTGTCCGTTATGCGTTGGACTCCCCATCACGCAACCCGAAATCCGAATCCCCCGCAGCCCGCCCACACCCCCAAAGCCCGAACCCTAAATTTCAAACCCACAACCCCACACCCCGATCCCTCAATTCACCCTAAACCCGTATAAACCCTGACTCCTTTACCCAAAGGGTCCATGTACTCGAACGGTACACACTTTGGCCTCAAAAGTAGGCCCTATATAGGTACTTTGGGGCCAAAGTAACTAGTTGGGTGCATGAACCCTTAAACCCTAAACCCTTATGATACCCTTAACTATAGAACCTTGAACAATCCTTCAAGAAACCCTTATGGGCACATGGACACTAAACCCTAAACCCTAAACCCTTAAACCCTTAAACCCTAAACCCTTAAACCCCTATCCCTAAACCTCTAAACCCCTAAACCCCTAAATCCCTAAACCCTTAAACCTAAACCCTTAAACCCAAACTCCTAAACCCCTAAGCTCCTACGCTCCGACGTTCTTAGATCCTAAATCCCAAAAAGGCTGCGAAGCCGACGGGTGGCCCGCCAGCCGCCGGGCCGATGCTGGAGCTCCCTGCAGGGTTTCGGGGATCTAAGGTTTAGGGTTGCTTAGGGGTTTAGGGTCTGAGGGTTTAGGGTCTAAGGGTTTAAAGGTTTAGGGGTTTAAGGGTTGAGGGTTCAGGGGTTTAGGGGTTTAAGGGTTTAGGGTTTAGGGTTGCTCAGGGTTGCTTAGGGTTGTTTAGGGCTGTTCGGGGTTTCGGGATCTAAGGGTTTAGGGTTTAGGGAACTAAGGGTTTAGGGTTCAGGGAACTAAGGGTTTAGGGTCTAGGGATCTAAGGTTTAGGATTTAGGGATCTAAGGGTTTTGGGGTCTACTGTATGCGGGATCTGACTGAGGGTTTTGGGTTGTTTAGGGTTGTTTAGGGTTGTGTAGGGTTCTTGGGTTTGGGGTTGTTTAGGGTTTCGGGGTTTAGGGATATTTAGGGGTTTAGGGCTTATTGCTTCAGGGGTTTAGGGTTAAGGGGTGTAGGGCTTAAGGTTAACTCTTTTTTTTGGAGGGGGGTTCAGGGTTTATGCAGATCATCCCACCAGGGCGACTCCGATACCCCTTGTATATCAGAGGGGTTTCCCCAAGGGTCCAAGCACCCAGTAATCATACACTCTCCAAAATCCTAACCTACATAACTACTATCCCAAAGCCGAGTACGCAATAATTGGGTCCTTTGGACAATGGGGTTTGTGTTTAAATATAGGTTTAGATCTTGAAGGGTGGTCCAGAGAGGTGCTTCACCAAATTCTGAACCCGAGGTTTTACAAGGTTTCTTTCGAGTCTTTCATGAATCAACGAAGGACTGGTTACTGGTAGTAAGAAGCCACTACAGTTGCGACATCATTCTGCCGATGCTCTGGAGGTGAAGCATCACTAGTCATCCCTGTCCCACGTTCCGATAAAGTCCCTAAATCTCAAACCCCTAAACCCTCAACTAGAACCCCTAAGCCCTAAAGCCTAAACAAGAATTCGGGGTTTTGTGTGTTGAGGGATTTGGAGCTTCCGAATCGACACGCTCTCCGGGGGCTTCGGGCTTCGGGAATTATGCTTTGGGGTGTCGCGTTGAAGGTTCAGGGAGGCCCAAGGTAGGACTTACTTGGAGGGTCGGGGGACGTAGTAACTGGTTACTTTAGGGACTTATAAGTACAATAACCCCAATTAGGGTCCCTTTTAGGGTGCTTATAAGTCTACTTACTACCTACTTACTAAGTCCCCTGACCCTCCAAGTAAGATTTGGGGTTTAGAGGTTCCTGGATTCCCTCCGGGCCGGAGCTCCAACAAAACAGCCAGGGAGGATGCGGAACTACAGAATACCTGAAACCCCTAAGCCCCAAATACTAAGCCTTAAACCCAAAATCTTGAACCCTAAACTTTAAACCCTAAACCCTGAATACTAAACTCTAAACCGCAGCACCCGGAACGATGGAAGTCCATGAGCGACTCTTGAGCTCGACAGCCTCTAGGGCTAGGGTTCAGCTGGTTCCTTTACAGGGTTCCTCTAAGGGTAGCATACGGGATTGGGGCCCTTTAGGGATTAGGGCTTAGAGACCCAGAAAGGACATGACCATAGGCAATTTATCGGGATCTCCGTACCTTGCTGGGCTGCATTATAAAGGGGTTTAGAAGGGCTCGTTTTTGGGCCCTGTTCGAACTTTGCAAACGTCCAGTCTGCCAAGCTCTGAGCTAAGAAGCCCTAAAACGCCCCAAGTTCAGGGTTTAGGGTTCCCTAAACCCTAAACCCTAAACCCTAAACCTTAAACCCCAAAGTCTAAACCGCCAGGACTTGCTTCAACTTGATGCGTCTGCGGCCTCCACAGGCGGACTTTGAACTTCGGGCCATCGGTGTCATAGGCTTCACGGGGTAAGGCTAGGGGAGTTGATAGGTGCCCAGAGACTCCAATATCCCTTAATTAAGGAATATTCCTTAAATTATCGTAGGATCCCTTATATGATTTGAAGTATATTCCTTAATTAAGGGATATTGGAGTCTCTAGGTGCTGCTACCTCAACCTTAAGCCCCAAACCCCGAGCCTCAACCTTAAATCCTAAACCCTGAACCCGCAACCCTAAACCCTGAACCCTGAACATTAAAAATCACTCACCCCTACTGCCCCTCCTTGAGCTTCCATGTCAGCGGGCTTTGGTCGGGTGGGTTCGAGTGCTGGCCCTGAGCCTTCAACGAACTTTCGGCCTATGGTCGCTAATAGGGGTCTGAATAGTTGGAATAGGGTTTGGGGGGGGCCCATTATCTTACAATTCTAAGAAGGAATCCCCAATTTTATTGTACAGTTAATTATTTAGGCCCCTATATTAAGTCAAAGCTCCCGTGTTCCGGCCAAAATGCCTCTGATGAAGCTTCTCGCCTGCCTTTCTCAAATTCCTAAGCCCTCATCTTGATCTGCGAAAACCTAACTCAATAATGTCTCGTCTATTGGACAAGCGTCTTCAAGTTGTTCTTCGGTGTGACTGTAGACAAGATCATGAAGCTGAAAACTTACATCGACAAGAGTGAAGCCTTTCATGAGTCACACCCTACCCGTTCTTCTTTAGGGTACGTACCTAGCTGTACGGTTAGGACCGGGTTAGGATCTGTTGTATATGGAAAAGTAGGTACCCTGAAAAGGGTAGCTGCTAGCTTCGGGGTATAACTGACTATACTACAAGGGGATGCTATTGTTAGGTATTCCGCCCCTACTACATTTCCCTACCGTAACTACTTGAAGCAGGTGCTAGGACACTAAGACTACCTTAAGCTACCAAACCCTACTTTTTGTAGGTCCTTATTATAAACCCTAAAACGGAATTTATATGGACCCTACTTTTTTGTAGGTTTGAGGTTAAGGTACAACCTGAAGCCTCTGCTGATCTCAACCACTAACACCCAGCATAGCAGCCCAAGCACTAAACCCCTCAAGCCCTGACCCTAACAGCCCCGACCGTAAACCCTAAACATCTAAACCCTGAATCCCAAACCCCTAAACCCCTAAACCCTAAACCCCTGAACCCCTAAACCCTAAGCCCCTAAACCCTAAACCCCAAACCCTACCCGCTACTTCCGTTGCCTACCCTTTTCCGGGCTGCTTCGAATTAGCAGGTTATTTAAGGCTTATCCCGGGGTTTGAAGAATTACCGGGTTTTTTAAGAGGTGGCTTCTGTAGGTTATGCATCTAGAGCCATGTTGTGCTCAATCGATCTGGCTTTTAAGGCAGAGGTTCAAGATAATCCACACTTTCAGAAACCAAGTGCTTTATAGAAGCCAATGTACGAAAGACCAGCAAGATAATCCCTGCACCCCCAATCCGTCGAAAGCCATTCCATCCCCGAAACCCCCCAACAGCAAAGCCTGATGTTGGCGCTGGGACTCTGCATCGTCGACGGCGAAGCCAATTGACTCTAGGCTCGGTGATTTCTGTCCGGCTCAGATGACTTAGACATAGATATCATGTGGACAAGTGTCATACTATGCACATTGGCAGGGCATATATTGATGGGACGGGCGACTGTTTGATGTGATTGAGCACATGTGGTGGAATATTGACGGGACATGCACACACATGACTGTCCAGATGACCGCATGAAGGTACAAATGCAGGACACAAGAGCATTTCATACACTAAAGTTCTATGTCATGTCATGAAGACACAGCTTTTGATAATCATGTTTAGATATGTATATGTGAGTATGTATGTATGTATGTATGTATGTATGTATCTGTTTGTTTGCATACATGAATGCGTACACATAGGCATGTACATACCTGATTAGATACATATATGTACACTCATGTATGAGTGATATATATATATATATATATATATATATATATATATATACGTATGTATACACACACATACATGTACATGTACACATACATAAAATAAGCATACCCGCAGTAAGCTTAGAATCACAATGGAATGCAAGGACGTAAACATGAACCACTACTATCTCGACGACTGAACCAGGCATGCTATGATAACACATGCACATATGAATGAATGACACAAGCTATGAACTGAACTTTGAGGACACAATGCGTTCACATGGCATGACGGAAGGAAGTGGTTAACTACATAATGAGACGGCTCAATATGAATAGCGACTGGATAGTTGAGTGAATGGAATGAAAGGGAATGTACAACAATGGCTAAACATGAGCGCAAACAAAACTACATGTTACAGTTATGTAGACATCTTTCGGAATTTACACATAGACAGCCTAACATATACATACATACACACATACCTAACTAACCTATGCGAGGTTATGTGTCAGGTTTGGGCTAGATGGCCGAGAAATCCTACATAGCTATCACCAAGCCAGATTCACGCCACACAGCAAAGCTGCCGGCTAAATAGCGTTGAAACGTCCTATGAATTACTTGTCGAATATTCACCCGACGTGAAACACGTGACACACGCCCCACCACGTCCTCGTCTTGCTGGCACCCTGTCGAAAGCGGGTTGGCTGCAAAGCCAACCCGCTCACCATCACAATGAACCTGGATCATGATGTGGTCCATCGAATGCATTTTCGGAATCAGCGGATATAGGTTGGGCTTCTGTTCCCGAAAGTAGAGCTGAGCTAGCTCAGTGTAGCATCTCAAAAAGACAAGCCCTCGCCGAGACACATACATCGCTTCAGTCCGTGACAAAAAAGCACCAGCATCGTACAAGAAACGAAACATGCTGTTCAGGCATGCAGCTCCGCGTAAGGCCATCTCGATCCTCGAACAGTTCAAGTTGGCATTGCTGCGAAACAAACACTCCAACCAAAGCAACAGGTTTGTTGTCAACTGACCTTTGTGCCATCCACCGACAGCACCAGTGCTGTCACCGTAGTTAACCATGCTTGGGCCAATCTTGGTCACATAACCCTGTCTCTTGGCAGTCTTGCACCAGGACAAGTAATCTGCCGTGATTGCTTCCCATCTTCTTTCCATCGTCAAACACACGAGAGAAGGCAATGTGAGAATAGCCATGGTTATGCAGGAGGCTGCAAAGGACTTACCAACACCCAGGTGTACCGTATGCCACAAGTCAGGCTGATAGAAAGTGCTGGGATCTGTTCTAGAGCACGCCAAGTGTCTGAGCAGTGGGGGTGTCGCAGGCCATGGATGGGGTGCTGGAATCGTGCTAAGCCACTTCGGATCCGTGTAGCCACACTCTTCTGCTGGGTAATCCTGGGTTCCAGCCATACACAAATGGCAGATGCCTTTGCCTTTAGCTTCGTTGCCAACTTTTTTGACAGATCGCGAAAAATGCCTTGCCAGATGTCCTGCCCGAAGCAGGAACGGCCAGTCTCCTTTGCAGGCAATGACGAACAGCCGATAGGTTACTCCTCTGTAAGTAAAACCAGTCTGCAGACAGTCAGACAAGTCTTTAGCCAACTCGCTGCAAGCATGATCGAAAGAGGACTCTGTAATTTTCTTCGACATTATGTTCGTCACAAACCTCGTCGTGTAAGAGTGCCCAGCATAGTTCACTTGCCAGTTGCAATCGGCCTTCGCTGTTGTTTTCCGCGTCCGTCCATTGATAGCACAGCCATAGCCAAGGCAGGATTGAAATCCCATGATCATGAGCGCACCCTTTTTCAGCGTGCGCCCCTCATCTCCGTGAATGTAGACAGCTGCTGTGTTCTGGGGATCAAAACCTTCAGGCTTGTCGATGTCAGGTCGCAACTGAAAGAACCTGTCCCAATACCCAGACCACGTTGCCTGGCATTGCTCTAAGTTTGCTGAGGTCAAGCCCGTCAGATGGAACCAAAGGTTTTGTTCGACTAGATACCTCAACCACGTCGTCGGACGTATCCAATCTATGGAAGTTTGGTCTTGTAGCCGCATCTCACTGAACCCCACATCCAGTCGCAAACCTTGCCGCTTGATAACTCTGTGCAGATCTCGCTCTGAGTTTCGGAGGCCTGCGTTGGCCCACTCTGAAACTCCGGCTGCTGCAACAGCCTCCTCTCCGAACTGCTCTGTCATCGCCTGGGCGAACTCGATCTGCGAAGTGCAGCTGGCCTCGGCGGGCAGCTTTCATCAACATATCATGCCTCGACATGAACCACAACTTTACACAGCTTCAAATTGCACATGCATCACTGTATTCACTGCACCTGCGGTATCTCTTTGAACTTGCATCAACAGAATGCACGACTGCAGTGCCACAACTTCCAGAATCTTTTTTTCAGCAGCAGAGCAGAACTGATGTCCTGTGCACAGCATACATTCAGCGAATTTTGAGACGTTTCTCATAATTTGGCTGCAATCAAACCGCGACGAATTTGCACAGAATTGCATTCCGACACTATATAACAGCACGTTGATGTTTCAACAATTCAGTTCAGCTATGGCGCAGGGTGCGACCCTTTCCTTGCTGGAGGATACTTGAAAGATCTGGAAACCACGTATGTAAAATACGGGCCACTGAAACCCGAGTCATCTTTCGGCATCGTGTCCCCTCCCAAGTTCTCGTTGTGGCAGCCACTTTGTCCTGAGACAGTGGCGTTAACACTGAAACAACAAGTGCAACAAGCCAATGAAAGTCAACACGGGGAATACCGTATACCATGCAGCTCACAGGCCTGCACACATCACTGCCCTTATGTAGCTAGCAAAACAGTCTCTTAAAACCAGTGTAGATCTGTTTACTTACACATGGTTCCATGCAAACCTGGAAAGAGTACATATGATGGCACACACAAGCGAGTGTGTGCACATGCATATATTTTTTACATACACACATATATAGACGTACATTACATACAGTACATTGCATTCACCATACATCACAAGTATACACACATACATGGCACATCAGTCATACATCGGGTTTTCGTACAAGTATGTACGTACGTACATACAAACATATATCCAGACATACACACACACACGTACATACCTACATGCCTCCGTCGCTACCAAGATACACACCCAGATATGATATAGCATACACAACGCACCTACATAAATCAGCAGACACAATATGTAAATGCATGTACACACTTACGAATACATTATATGCATATATAGATATACATGTGTGTGTTCATGATCATAAGCAGGTACATGCATACATGTAGTACATGCACATACACGTATAGGTATATATACATTCACACAAACAAACAATTCTACATACATACATACATATATATATATATATATATACATATACAGATATTTATATATATATATATATGCATACATGAAAAGTAAGGTTTTGGATCATACATAACTGGATTGCACACACACACAACAGGCAGTCCCACTAACTGAGCCAACATGCCAAAGTAGATAACGTTGTACACATACATACACCCACATACAAATACTTGCACCCACACATACACAACTCACAAATGTGTGCACATGTGATTCCGTGTGTATACATACACTGCCTGGTAGATACCAACTGGAACAGGCATGTTTGCAGTTACATGTGCCCACATCCCACAGCAGTCACTTATACAGAAACACGTACTCCTATGTTAATATAGAATTACCACGAGCTACCTATAATGTCGTGCATGCCATGTGTACACGTATAGCTGTCCACTGCTTCCCAGCCACCCTTGTAGATGTTGACAAGAGCGGCTTCAAGGAACCCAGGCCCCGTAGCATCTTTCGCAGAATAAAGGATATCCATCCTTTCGTACTTCTGCACAGACACCGCGTAACCATAGATAGGATTCGTCCAGCGAAACACTGGATCATGCGTGAACCCGAACTTGAAGGACATGGGTTTTCTGCGACTGTGAAGATCCTCGAACACCTCAATCGCGTGTCTAAGTACCATGCCAGGTGTCCCGACCCTTTTCGGCAGCCGCATGTGTATCTTCTCATGCAGTGCTCCAGGCCTAGAATTAAGATTCTTAGCAAGACCAGGCGTCGAGGCACATGCTAACTCCAGACCTCGTAGGTTGTCAGATACCATGTCTTCGCATAAGACCGGCTCTGAACTCACACCACTCTGTCTGACATCGCCAGCTTGCCACGCGTATGGGCCGAGGGCTTCCTGAGTTGTCGAGCGGACCTAAAAGTGTTGGCTGTTCAATAGTAGTACGAAACAGTTTCCATACACAGGACAAATGTAATGACATCATTGCTCACATGACACATTTAAGTATGTACAGTTTAAGTTACCTAACAATATCCACACACAGCATCTACCTAGGAACAAAATTCTGGTGCTTGACAATTACATAGGCTTCAGACAGCTTCCGGTTTTGCTTTTGGGGGCGGAAGCATTCAGGCACTGGGGCATCAGGAGAGATTGTCGCTCACGTTTCGGTTCGGCCTGGATTGCTTTGACGATGCTAAGACTATGCAGCTCCCTACTTCTGGGTTGCCTGTTGTTTATAGGGGCTAGCATGGGAAATCTTTGGGATTAACCGCTACATAAACCTATGCATTGTGAACGAAGTAGGGGAACTTGAGTCACAGCACTTTTCATTGCAAGTCACAGTAATTCTGCCGATCTTTGATGTCAATATACATCTCTATACATATATGATACAAACAATATATCCCAGCCACCTAGGAATCCGAGCTAAGGAAGATGACTCTTGGTTGTGTGGCAGCCCCCATGAATGGACAACCTATATAGAATTGTAGTAGGCTGTACGACAGCTTAGGACTCCGTGCTAATCGAACCACAGGCAAGTTATTAGCCACACTGCACATAAAGACGGATGATAGCCTACATACACAGACATTATAAGAATTATCAATATATATATACACACATACATATGTATATATATATATATATACACACATATATATATATATGTATGGTACGAACAGAGGCTATGGAATCGGATGTTATGCACACAGCGATGCTGAGCTGTGCGAGGGTCATGAAGTCGCAGTAGTGGGTAAGTGATTATTTCCGAAGCCACAAGCTGCATGACAGGGCTCCGAGCGGTGGCAGGACAGCAAATCCAACAGCTCATCGTCGGTTGTCTCATCTGTTGTAGTCGACATGCCACAGCTGACTGTGACAAAATCAGCAGCACCAGCGGCTATGCAGTCACGACCTATAGATATCTTCTGCACATGCAAGTATAAAATCTTAGCCATACATGTATATGTGTACATCGTGCAGGTTAGTACGTGCAACACCGTACATATAGACACACGCACACACAAACCATGTACAGCACATGTAGCCAATGCACAGAAACCCACATGATTGTAGGAATACGAATTTGAATTGGTGTCACTGCAGTGCCATGATAGAGAAACGATAGCACTACAAAAAGGATCTCGGTTGAGTGCGCATAGAACGTGCCAGCAGAGTGAACGAGTACATGAGCCACAAAGTGCCTTCGGAATCGAGCGGCCTGTATCAGAGCGGTAGTTCCCATGCAGTCACAGCATGATGCCTAATTGTGTTTCATTACTGTAGTCATGTAACAATGTTGTCTGCGACCTTGCAGTTTGGGGATCAGATGCTACCTAAACACACCACATATATATATATATATATATATCGTTAGCACTATATACATATAATGGATATATCCACATCTCTTAGCGTCTCTTCCCTGGTATTTCTACTCTCTGATCATCTGCTTCTTCCTGCATACACTAATAGTATATCGACCTGTATTGATAGACATGTGTATGCCTCTGTATACACATCTATATACATCTCTATATATATATGTGTGTGTACACATACACACTTACATATTGTACATATTGATCAGAGTATACCTGCATCATGCAGCACAGTACCATTACACACGCATATGCACGTCTATCATATGTATATGACTTTACGTGTGAATACATACACATGTCTATCCCTTTAATTCAGCTTGGTTCCATGGGACTACGTGGAGCCTCTAGCACGAAGTGATCATGAGTTACGCGGAGCACGCATAGGCTAAGTACTGCACTAAATACACGTGAGTGAATGCTCCCTGGCTTAACGGTTCTGATAATCATGCAGCTGTACTACCATGCAGCTGCCTAACCTACCCAAGCCCTCCACCCTGCAAACCTTCAGCAAGCTGATGAATCTGTGCCATGGTATCCATGGACAGCAAAACCTCCTGATCCCGAGACTTCCAACAACTAATCTCCAATGTCACACCCGTGAGGCAAGCTATGTAGGCTTCGAGCAAATAGGAGAGACAGTGTACTCGACAATCGTTGGGTGTTTCAGGGCTTAGATGGCTCACTTCATGGGTGCAGGACTTAGGAGTTTCAATGGGCATGTTAAGGTTAACCAACAGAGACCTAAACCCTATAAACCCTAAACCCCTCCATATCACATTGTCTTTAAGGAGCGAGCTCCATTGCCCACGTTCTTCGCCATTCGACTCGTCACTGGGCCTCGACCTGGCGTGCTCACACCCAGTTCAGGATTCATGGGCTCAGATGTATCAAGAGACAGGGAAGACTGCATCGATGCTGCTTCATATTTTCTCGGAAAGTTCTCACAGGTATCCTGCTTGCGAAGTCACGGGAACTCACTTGCAAGCGTAGCTTCTATAAGGCTTGGATAAGCCCAACTGGCTAGCCAGATCTCCTCGCTCAGGCAGCTGCTGCGGCTACATGTGATCCAGATCTGCATTACAGCTACGGTGCCGCTGTCTGCATGAGAGGTAGACTCGACAGGCTATATATATATAGGGCCTGGTTGGGGGATGTCTGTCTGCAATCACAAAGATCGATCGCCACAGCGAGCTGCATGCAGGTTTACAAAACGACTTTGTGCGAAGTAGCGCACAAAAGGTAAATCATCATGGCTGCTCATGCCTCAGCCCTGCGGAACAGGCTCAGGCTTCTTCTTGAAGTGGCGCTTTGCACTCCTCGGATAAATGTGGTTGATAGGCTATGCAGGGGACTTAGGAGGGATTATTTAGTTGTATGGGGGATTGCCGTCTCACATCAGCAAAGCTAAGGCTTTGTCTTCACTTTGTTCTCGCTGGAGACCACTTTCGCCATCCTGGGATATTGCAGACTGCGCAAGCTGGTTTATGCCTACAGAACATGCTGCTGCGGCTTGTTTGTTAATTGCTCTAGGGATTGAGCCGGGTTGCTTGTACGTTTCGTCCTTCATCATCTTCTCACACTCCGAGCGCCACCTTGGAAGGTCAGATGGGGTGCAGGGTTCTCACTGCACACTAGCATATGTGACTATGCACAAGGTAAGATACTTACAGTTGCATGTACACACAGATATGTATGTTAAGGTGTGCAGGGGCTGCAGGTCTTACTATGCATAGTTACACTTCATGACGGGTATCATTAGCAGAGTGTGGACACATGTGTATGCAAGGGGGCAGCCCAGGGTGTGGTGCTTGTTTGAAACATGTTTACCACAGGAATGAAAGTCACAAACAAGTTAATGAGCTGTTACACCCACATGTGCAAATCAAGGCCATCAGCTGTCATTAGCCTTGCCTTGAGGTACCGACCCATACCATACTTACTTATGCTACCACACCCACCACCTGAACCTTAAACAACACCCTGATTAGCAATCATACGGCTTGCATCCATACCCAGCTGTAGGACCTAGGAAGCCCCTCTGTATATACAGTGCTTGAACAAACACCCACCGTTGTTTGACAAAGGTCCCAGAATTCCCAACAGTAACCTACTTGTGTGAGGCTGCACTGGCTACGGTGCTACGGAGCTGGGAACTGGGGCCTTGGCACGACAGAGAGACCGGATTAGACACATGTGGTTTGTAATGATTTCTGTTGTTCAGCACCCCTGTAAGGATGCCAGATGCCATAAATACTGCCCCTGTCTCTTTCACATCCCCTTGACAGATGACATAGGGCACGTGCCTAGCTACATAGCAAATGACGACAGCTGTTCCTGCTGACTTAAACCAATCAAGAAATGTTTACACACATACCTATGTATTTTTACACATTTTGCCATGATGTAATGTGTGCACCGTATCCATGCCTAGTATTCTTTCACAAGGACACAACACAACTAGGATAAGACTATAATGGGTTTAGGGTTTCGGGCCCTAGATTTTAAGGTTCACGGTCCTATAGGGTTTAGGGGTTCGGGGTTTTTGGTGTGGGGTTTAAGGGGCTAGGGTTGCGGGTTTAGGGTTTAAGGCCCCAGTGTTTAGGGTTTAATACATCAAGGTGGGGTTCTAGGGTTTAGGGTTTCGTAGGGTTTATAAGGTTTAGGGATCTAGGGTTTAGGGTTTATAGGGGTCCAAGGGTTTCGACTTTTGGACCCGAGATTTTAGGGTTTAGGGTCCTAGGGTTTAAGGTTTCGGGCCTGTGTATAGGGTTTAAAGCCCTAGGGTTGAGGGTTTAGGGTCCTACAGTTCGGGCCCTAGGGTTGAGAGCGGGTTCAGATAATTGCTATACTGGTTCCTTCACATTTGAGCCGAGTCTCTTTCCATCGTGGTTCTGCAGCTCACCCTTTGCCTGCATGTCGGTAAGGGCACTGTACGCATCGTCCAGGACTTTGGCATCAGCCTCCAGCGTACAGATGCTCCTCGGCGGGCGATGGGGTTCGATATGTCATTTTAATGTATATATTGTGGCAGTCGGAGTTTCGGGTTTCGGTGGCATGCTCAGAAATTGAGACAGGAGTCGCAGTGGCCAGAGGGTCATCGTAGGTTTTCACTAGGTCACGGATCAGCGCACGAAGTTTGGCACTCTTCGACAGCACACTGTCAATGAACTTGCGGAAGGTCTCTTTGGCTTTAGTGGCCTCTTGATTCGATCAGGTTTACATAGGGTTTATGCATGGGGCTTAGGTTAGGGGAGTACGAATGGGACACATAACATAGCTCAGGATGTGAACTGGTGGACTCCCGCATCATCCCCACCTCGCTGGCCACTTGGACAGCAGGAGCCTCGTTAGCTTCGATGCGGCTGTGCATGCTGTCCAGACCAGCATAGTTGTCGTCGAGAGCATCACGGCGCTCCTGCCCAAACCAAGATGCAGTTCACTGATTGATTCGTGTAGGAATGGAGCATTCCCTGGACGACAGTTAGCTATTGCATGACACAAATCCTGGACGTTCTGCGTGACCCGCTGCTCCCGCTCTTCGGCCACCTCCCTGACTCCAACCTCGCGCACTTGCACCCAGTACTCGTCCTCTCCACCGTATCGTGAAGACCTGAAGCAGCAATAAGTATTTCTGAAACTGGTCCAGCTACTTTCATTCGTACTTCTAGGTTGATCTAAGAGACATTTAAACAGCTACAGACACACATGCATCCTAAAGCAGCACATGCGCAGCTGTCTTATTCATGCAGTGCATGCTATCATGCTGATGCTGCATTTACGACTATACATTGAGTACACACATATACACATGTATGGCCCTCACGGTCCCACTCCTAATCTTACCCGCGATACCCTACCAAACCCTACTTGACCCCAGCAAGAGCCTCACCAAGGTCGTGCGGTTGGCCTCGCATGCACGAATGGCACCAGCGATCTTCTTCCTGAAGCTTCAGAGGCTTGCATAAATTCACATTCAATCCATATAGTTTTTGGGACAGAGACACCGAATAAAGTTGTGTAGGCATCCAAACTCCTACATTGCACACAGCTGAGTCTAAGCAAGCCTATACTTTATAGACTGATGCCATCACAGAGTATAAGACCAAACCAACCGTACTGCTTCATAGACTTACAACAGACAAGGAAGCACAAGCCTCACACAGATCCACATAATTTCATGTACATATAATCCCACATAGGACCCTGTAGGTTCGAATAGAAGTACATGTAGGTTTTGAAGTGTATGTACATAATCTATGAATGAGACTAAGAAGTCGGGGCATCAAGAGACCCATGCACTCGATAGGATCGGGGTGGCAGCAACAACACACCAGTCCAATAAAGGAGCAGTCGTTCCCACAACACTCATGTGTGCCCCTACATAAATATGTATGTACATGCTATCAAAATCTATAATATATGTGCATATACCTATAAGCATATACAGATTAGGTAGCTAAAGATGTGCATATATATATATATGTATATGATAGTATGTGTGTGATGACAATATAGAGAGAATGAAACATACCAGCACTGTGGAGCTAGTAGACATACTGACTGCAGGAACCTCAGACCAGGTGAGACAAGAGAAAGAGAAAGAGAGAGACCGAGAGTGAGAGAGAGGGAGTGAAGAGAGAAACTGAGAAATGAGAGTGAGTCAGAGAGAGAGAGAGAGAGAGAGAGAGAGAGAGAGAGAGAGAGACAGAGAGAGAGAGAAAAAGAGAGAGAGAGAGAGAGAGAGAGAGAGAGAGAGAGAGAGCGAGAGAGAGAGAGAGATTAGCGAGAGAGGCAGAGAGGCAGAGAGGAGGGAGCAACATGTCAAGAAGAGCAGCACACATTGCAGACGAGGGCTCGGGTTCCAATGCAGAACCCGCTGCATGTCCTCCTTGGAGTACCAGCCTTCCTCGACTGAGTTGGTCTTTCTGTCCTTGCGGGCGATGCTGTTCTGCACGGACGTCACGAACTTGTCCTTCGGAGATTTTGTAGGCGGTGGCTAAATTAGTCAGGCTGGGCATCCCTGCAGGTCCGGGGATCAAGATATTAGCTAGCTTATGCCACAAGTAGGACCACGAGCTAACAGACTGGCTCATGGTATAAGACTTGACAATGCCACGGTGCTGGTTGGTGCGAATTAAGACATATGACCTGTACACATAACTATCTACAGCACTTCGAGCAGAACTAAAGTTTTGCTACAGTGTATGAGGCCGACATCGACAACAGCAAACTTCGGTCCTTGTCGTAGCCATTCTCCTCGTACTGCATAGCAAGGGCAGTGTGGTTGCCTGCCTTCCACAGCTCGTGGAGCCACACTGGCACCTTCAAGGAACCGTTCTTCTTGCGCTGGCAAAGACGGCGGAGCTTTGCGTTCCTGGCCGCCCTGCTCTTCTGGCCCGGATCTGGGCCCTTGGCCCCTGAGGGCTCCTCCTTGTCCGCCTCCTCGTCGTCGTCTGTGTCCTCGGTCTGTCTCGGTGGTTCCACATGTACGCTACTGTTACAAACACTCGTGTGTCCAGACCAACACATGTTGCTACCCAGACTCCACTTTACAGTCGTTCGGGGGCCCTCGGTCACTCATCCCATCGTTGTTGTCAGTCTTTGTGTTCTTGCTCGTGGTCCCAGGGTTCTCGGCTGGCTCCTCTGTTCGTGCCTTCTTCTTCTCAGGACTGCACCCTGTGATCCGGTAACCCAGCACTGTGCTGGCAGTGTCTAAGGACATAGTGCCGGAAATGACCATCCGGCGCACGCGTTGCTCCAGCTCTGCCAGCTCCTCGATTGCATGCAAGGCAGCAAGGAAGCCCAAGCAAGAGACTCAGCAAACCACAACACCTTCAGCCCCTGTCTTTGCCTGTATACCCAAGGATACAACTGGCAAGTATATGACGACCACTTATTAACTAGGTCCTAGGTAACCAAAGGCAAGCATCCTGGCTCTGGGCACTCGTAGCCAAAGAAGACGGTGAGTTCGAGCGGGGTGGGGTCGCAGTGCTAACTTCCATACCGTGGTCCGGAAGGTCGCCCTTATATGCAGTTTCAGTTGAGATCGTCTACATTTCTGGCAAGCGAAATCTACATCGCCATGCATTCGTGAAAGATATGTTGCATGCCACTGCAATGTTATTGTGAAGACCAGGGGCTGGCTGGGTCTCGGCCACGGATGCCTCCAGCATCTTCTCCTGTTCAGACAGTTTAGATGGGGTAGTATTATCTACTGTGGTTGTTAATTAGGACAACACACAACTGCCCAGGTATGGATGCTCATCCCTTCTGCATATGGCCTTGGCCTCCAGCTCTCGAAGCTCCCTTTCCATCGCCTAGAAGGACCATAGGGTGAGATGTTTGGGGGAAGCAACAGTCAAAACTCGAGAATATCTGCACATCGTGGCAGCCGATGAGCTTAAACTTGCATTGGGCCCCCACCTCGACCTCATCGATCTCAGCAGGGTTCTCCCCGTCTCGTGTGACCGCCTTCAGACCTTCCTGAAGCTCAGAGCAGCTCCACACCCTGGAAGCAAACCTGGAATCATTCGCGGCTTTCTCCATCTTGCAAGAGCTAAAGACTTGCAAGGGCGGCCGGGCAAGAAGCTAGCAGTGCATGAGCTCAAAAGTGAACTGTGGCAGCATGTGAACCTCTGCAAGACATGTAGGACCAATGAGAAGGAGTGGAACAGTGTGCCACACAGCAGCAATCAGTTGCAAACATTTTGAAGCCGTGTGCAAGAGCGCTGCCATGATCCTGCAACATGGTTTTGACACTGTCAGCACCGACGAGCTTGCATATAAGCCAGTGCAAGTAGTACGGACCAGTCTCCAACTCGACACAATCGATGCACGACATGTCGGGAAGTAGATCTAGGTTACTGCTACCTCATGTTAGGTATCGGGAAGATGACCTAGTGTGGTGTTAAGCATTTGTTACCCGAGGTTAGGTTTCCGGAGGATGATCTACTATGGTGTAAGGTCATGCTACTCGTTAGGGGAGATAATCTGCTGTTATGTAACTTGGTTGAAGTCGATCTAAGTTCTTCATAACAAGATATAGGAGCTGAGTCTTGGGTTCCTACAGAATATGAGTCGCTCGGGATAGATGACGAGTATGAAAGAACCAGCCCCCAACACAACCGAAGGAAAGCCAGCAACAGGGTGGCTTAGTCTGTATGATTTATGTCTATAATAACCCATAAAATTTTATGGGTTGGTTACGCCCTTTTACGGGTAGGTTACGCTTAAAATACGGGTTAAGAAAATACGGGTTAAGGATTAACCGGGTTTCTCGAGATGCGGTTACGGGTGTTTACGGGTAGGTTACGGGTGTTTACGGGTAGGTTACGGGTAAAACCCGGTTATTTCTTCCTATGCTATCTTGGAACCTATGATAACTGTATTGTAGTGTAACCCAGACAGCAAAAAAGCAGTCGGAGAAGCCTGGGCCCACGGAATCCTCTTCTAATTGTATATACGAGAAGCACGGCTCCCAGAGACACGGCCCACTGGCTGCTCAAACCGAGTGCTGCCAGCTGCTACATACTCACACGATAAGAGAAACGGCTCAACCCAACCAATCCTATTGTAGAGTGAATGTATACAAGCAGTGCCATGCAGAAACCGGGCTCCTTTGCTTCAATTAGTTCAAACCTCTACTGTGCTGTACACAGCACATGCACTTGCATTGCATGAGCTGTAGTGAGGCTCATAGTGATGTGGGCAGCAAAGGACGGAAAGCTTCTGGGATTCGTAAAGAGGTGCCCCCACGCACATAACGGACACATTCAACTAGGTTTGCATCCTCCCACAAGTCATCATAGTCCATCTGGCTAAAGGTATCCATCGCCGACGCCACCTCCTCCGGCAGCTGGGGCATGCCTCTTTTTGTGGCCAGCACCTGATCGTGGAGCTCCACCAGGCGCAAGCCGAACTGGGGCGGATAGTGCCTGAGCTGAGAGGCCGAAAACTCTCGACTAGGACTATATATACATTTCACATGAAGGGATTCGGGTCTTGCTGCCTATAAATGTCGTGAGAATTTACCCCAAGCCCGAGGTAATTCACGCTTCACAGGAGGGGACAGTAGGCCATTGTCAGCTAGCAGGGGTTACTCGGGATAACCTGCCCTAGCTAGCTTTCTTAAACCCTTATAAGACCTGATATAAACCACCACAAAAGTCTATATCCCAACAGTTATCAAACCCTACATGTAACCACACTGCTGGAGTACTTGATCACTTCACCTCATTATAGGGAGACCTCAGGAACTTTACACTACACACAGGCAACGTTTCTGAGCACCCTACTCGGTAGGCTTCAAGTTCTTGTTCCCGTGGAACCGCTTGACACCATGCTTGTCTACATACCGGTGGCTCGTGCGAACTCGATCGGGGTGAGTCTTGCAAAAGTCCTGCCAATTCCGAAGCGGCCCCTGGTAAAGTTGGCTTATGGCACTTGCATTTGCAAAAGCCCAGTGTGGCTTCGGCGTAGGAGCTCCATAGTGGCGCATATGCCAGGTGACTTTGGTAACCTTGGCCAGTCGGTTCAGGGACAGCAAGCTCACGAGAAAGGAGTACACATACACTATATATACACATGCACGATGGGCCTTCGTGGTCCCCATGCAGATATACATTGCAATGTACATTAGCGACTAGGATGACGTCGTGTCCGCATGGCTGGCTTCCAAAACAACATGTAAACACGACGAAGCATCCGAGACAGGCTAGTCTGTACTCCATTCATTCAGACCGTGCAACAGCGGCGTATGTCCAGGGGTTGAATATATATATATATATATATATATATACCCTATATGTGCAGGGGTTGCATATATATATATATATATATATATATAATCGGCTGGGGTCCAGCATGTAGCTCACAATATTTTTGTGTCTTCGCAGCGACTTATTACCCAATCTGAATCCACAGCAAGACTGGATGCTAACCATGCATGCCATGGGTTCGGTGAAGGTAGCCCCACAACCCTTTATATACAGAACCTTTAAAATGCCCAGGTTGGATGAAGAAACCGAACCTCCGATCTCGATCAGTCTTCGTGACGTGGCCTTCAATTCTGTCAGGGTCGATTCGCGGATCCATGCAAGAGATTGGATGCCCATCACGCCAGTCCGCGGAGGGATATTTGCACAAATGGTCCAAGGCCGATAGCAGAGAGCTATCACAGGCACAGAAATCCTTGTATCACACAAGACCCAGAACACTGCAGACTTCTATACAGTATTTGAAGTAAACAACGTTCAACAGAGCACCTGAAACCAAGCCCCATTTCGCGATTGGAGACTCCTACATGAAATGGCCACGAAGAGATCGTAGAAGTGCACAGAAGCTCATTATACTGCATCTAGATGCATCACCCCCTCACCATAGCACTACAAAATATATCATCTCACAATTCATAATGCCCTTGACTCACTCCATCTAATTGGAAGTACTGTGAGATCCTGTTGTTCCTGCTGACCGATCTAGAAGCTTACTACATACACCAAGATTTCGACCCTAGAACCTTCCATCTCCATACAACTGTACATACCGACCATTGAAAGCCCCGAGACCAGGCTGGACAAGGATGAATGCAGGGAGATGGGGAGCAGGCTTGAGGTTTCAGGATCGTACGATGTTGCGGGTATCCAGGGCTGCTGGAAGTGCGTGGGTTCAGGAGGTGATGACTTTGGACTGGGTCCATTTTGGATTGAGGATGGGTTTGGGCTGCTTACTCCTAACAAAGGGGGGGGCTGTATTGCAACCACCTAGGCCAACCACGACGATTTCAACTTGATCCCTGATCCCATCTTGACCCTACAGCACCTTGAGACTGCAACTGACGGCCTATCCGAAACCAGCTGCCTGAGATGCCACTGCATCCCCCCCCGTCTCGTTTGGAGTTATTTCATCTTATAGATCATTCTACGGCAGACTGTCCTTCTCCCTTGGAAGCCAAGATCCCCAAGCCTCTCATTTAGTCAGCATTCTAGCACACCTATGTACAGCTCATATGTATCACTTTTCGTATGATAGGAGTATCGCCACAAGCACTCCAAGCTCTTTGTACATGCGAACATGCAGACCCCTAGGGAGCCAGCTAGTGACAGTAGAAACAACATCGAAACACCTAGCTGCTTCGTACAAATGCTGATGGCAACTAGGCTTATGTGTAAATAGCACTCAATTCACCTGTAGTCCATCGAAACCTCACAGCTGAAGACCTGTGGAACCCTGTATACCCTCAACACGTAACCCTTTCATGGCCTTATGTAAACCCTAAACTCACATAATAAGCCCACAACACCCTAGAAAGCCCTGCGTATTATCCCTAGAACCCTTTCACCCTCCCAAACCCTTAAACCCTGAAGTCCGAATCCTTAAACTTTCAAGTCCAAATCCTATAAGCCCTATATAACTATGTAAGTTTCAGCCATATAGGTTTCTGACCCTTATGCTTCAGGGGTCAGGGCGCGTTCTTTTACGATGGGAGTACAAACAAGAGCTGGCAGGGGTTGGGGTTCTAGTTGAGGCTTTAGGGTTGTATTTAGGGTTCACATAGCGTGGAACAGAACCATATAGCAAGTATACAGACGACTTACTGCAGCAGCACAGGCAGCCTATGGGGGAGCCAATGCTACAGTACCTGCAGAGGGAATGTATACAAGCTGTATCGCTTTCACGGCACACATCTAGAGCATCCTTTCTGTACATGTACATATGTCAATACATCTGTACTGGCAGCAATTGTGCAAGGTCTCTATGAGTTTGAGGGCCACTTAGGCATTACAGGATGATTTTTTTTTGGGTCTGGCCCAGGGTTTCCATTTAGTCAGGCAAGGTTGAGTTTAAGATTTAGAGGGAGGTGTCACCATGCAGGTTCCACAGATCAAGACAGCATGGATTGAAGTTGACCTAGGCAGGGATGCAAGTGCGAACTGACCTTAATTTCCTTCTTGTCCTATACTGACTAACCTGTTTATACTGTATGGATCCCAGCAACCCGCACTCAGAAAGCTTCTAAAGCAGGCTACCGAAAGCAATGAGGTCCTGATGTCCGAAAAAACATTAGATAATACTATGCCGTATTTAAGTAAGCACCAGCGGGTAAGTCTCTATCTAGACCACCAACTAAGGTATAAGGCCGAGCTACTGCACCTTCGCCCAATGTCTGCAGCACCCAACGGAAGCGTGGATAGAACTCCAGGAAGCTGCCGCTTGGCTGTTCAACAGACCACACACCCGACAGGGCTGTCACGACCAGCAGCAAGAGACACATCCTTAGGTTGAGAAATGAGGACTCTTTATTCACGAGCAGGGCAAGGTTATACAGGCAATGCAGAAGTAACACTGAGCACCGTTTGCCATCCTATCAAGATGTGGCTTCCCTTCAGTTCTTGCGCTGCTTGCATGGATCGTACAGTTAATGCTTCAGAGCATCCGAGAAGCCATACAGTTACCGTCCCGAACAAAAGCATGATCCTGGTTTCCCAAAGATGTGCAAATAGACCTCCCGGACGTCCCTTGACTCATTTGACTCCAGCTCCCACATTTGATGCCAAAATGGCACCAAAATCCCCGAGGATCTCCACGAAGCACGGTTGACAAAGCCAACCTGGGATACGCCACCCGACAGGACAAGCAGGCATCATGTACATGACACCAAAACTCTCCTTCGATAGAGTGTCTTACGGATGGCTTGGACATCGATCTCATACAATCATGCAAGTGCCATGCTAAGAGCAGCGAGTTGCAGAAACCCTGATGGGGTCAAGATATCCATGAAGTTCTGCTTCCCACCGGCAGCAACGTGATACTTGTAGTCTAGCTTGGCCGCACAATGCCCTGCGTACCTCATCATCCGTGTCGCTTCAGCATTGCCAGCGAACATCTCGATGAAGGTGTAGTACCCACTGTTCTGGCACATGAGACTGTTGCTGCTGCTTCAACATGAAGGGAGTCTTTTTTATTTTCTAGCACCTGCTACTGTAGGCGGGGGATCCTAATTAAGGTTTGGAGTCTTGTAGTCTATCTATCTTTACATATAAATACATACACACATATTTTACATACATACATATAGGCATATATATATATATATATATATATGTATACATATATATATATATACATATCATACATATATACAACCTGTATATAGCCTTTATGTGTGTGTGTATATATATACACGTATGTCGGAGTAGGCCTTGTAGCAACTCTGACGATTACATTGTTGTACAGAGACCGACGTGCTTGGGGTCAGTTTGGATGCGCAGGTGTAGGTGTCTGTTGTCTACACGGGTTCCAAGCGGGGTACTCCATCACCATGGCCCAATGCAAGCTCGCCTCTCCCTTGTAGCCCCTATATACATTATCAAGCCACCGAAGCATACCCTGAAACCTCTATCTGGAAACAGCCAGCAGGGGACAACCAGAATGATAACCCACTGAGAGCACCTACTACCCCAGGTATAAATTTGGTCGATCAGCTGCACCCTTGCCAAACGAACAGTTCGCAGTGACTCGGCAACAGCAGCAGACATGTTGGGGCGTGGAGTGCAATGTGTCTGTATGTTCGGTCGGACATAGACATGTAGCTGTAGCTGTGACTACTACTCCTAAGAGGGTGGTGCATTACCAGCAGGTAGGTATATGTCTTCGGCATGGGTGCACACAAAAGCATATATGTCCATAAGAAGATGTGTCCTGCATAGCCAGAATGTTCCGAGTACAACTGTGCATGCTAGGATGTTGGCGGTTAGACTAACACCCCGACCTCAACAACACAGGCAGAAATAACAGCATATCACCCAGACATACTAGCGATAAAACATCCCAAGAATGAAACCCATCCTGTCAGTGCAACCACTCGCATGCTGCCCAAATTGTTGTTATTATGTCTGTAGAAGTTTATCAGGGACTTTAGTCATGTGCATTTATTTCTGGAACAGCCCTCGCCCCTGAAGTTATCAGCCACATTCAGTGAAGATTATACAGGATCCCACTGCACCCTGCCAGCATCAACCGAAAGCCCTAAACCTAACCTTAAAGCTTCAGCTTCGAGCGTTAGATGCCTTTAGAAGCCACGGGCACCTGCCTGGGATTCCATCTCGTGGCACTCCGTCCACGACAGCAGGAGGATGGCGAGGAGAAGTGCCTTTGGCTTTATGCTGGTTGGTTTTGGTCTTATGGCGAATATATCTCTCTATATATACAGATACACATAACCAGTATGTGAACATAAGTCTGTACATGTGTATATATATATATATATATATATATGTGTATATACGTAGTTGTACAGATATATATATATATACATATGTGTACATACATGCGCTCGTATATGTTCGCACATGTACCTGCACATCCATACACAACTGTATGGCTAGTTGTATGTGTACATCAACAAGCAATGTGTATGTGCATGTACATGCATAGAAAATGTATGTAGATGTACATCACACAGATACATGTGCGTGGGGGTCTACAGGCACATGTGTGCACATATATATATATATATATATATATATGCACATGCACATATTCATGTCCGTACACATATGTAGGTATGTGTATATCTATATATATATATATATATATATATATATGTGTACACTTGTATACACATGTATACAGACATTCATAGATAGGGCTTGTAGTTTAGCAGCTATAAAGGTTTCGATAGTACGTAGGGTAAGGAAGCAACACATGACTCCTTGCACATGGGGAGTGCATACATTTGCACCTGGGCGAAACTCCAGACATGGTGCATCTATGTGTCGAATCAGTTTATAGGATACAACTTCGAGCCATGTGACCTTCGGTGCCCGCAGGATACGTAGTCGATGGAAAAGGGCATCCAAGTCAAGGCCCACCATTGTCGGATAAGCACGGCGTCACAGAACGGTCACCACTACAACCCCGATGCAACAAACCAGACATAACCCTATATATAGACCCTAAACACTCGTAAACCCATTATAAACCTTATAGACCCCTTGGCTGGCAGAGACCAGTGTCACGACTAGCCAGAAATCGTGAATCCCACTGCTGCTGCTGCAATCCAGCATCAGACACAGACAGATTAACACGTTCAGCTAAGGATTGACAGCTGCTAAACTGGAATGGCAGCTGCTGGCGCTCTGCACAACATGATGTTCTAACCAAGAACACATCAGTCAGCAGGCTGCACGACGAAAGGAATTGTGTGTGATTCTGAAGCTGATAATTGTAGCCCATTAAATTACCCCCATTAATTAATTGTATGTGATGGCTATAGCATACCACCTTAGTAAACCTCTACATGGGCTATTTGCATGCAGTCTACATAACCTTGCCACGACTCAAAATGAGACGTGTTGAAAGACGGAAATAACCAGAGCACCCTCCCGAACTAAGTTTATGCAAAGCGTGACCAGCCAGACGCTCGACATCGGGGAGAACACCCAGCTTCGCGAACTTCCGCTTGCCCCGGAGACTTGGCATCGTGATCTGACCTGGGCAATGCAAGTGCTTGTAGGGATCAAAGAAGGACAGCAGTGAGAGAACATGTGCAAATGCTCCGTCTGCTTCGTCGAATAGACGGCGTGCAGCAACACTGATGACATGTTTTTTTCCCGCATGATTCATGTGTCGATCGTCGATCTTTCCGCACGAGCAGGCTTCGCTAGCCCATGTTGCCGTGCAGAGCCCTACTTGATTAAATCGCCAACGGCACACATCACACCCCTAGCGCACGTGGGAAGACACACGCACACACAGCTGGCTGGTCTAAGGAGCGTGCTCTAATGTGCACCGGCCCGCGGCGAAAGACTGGATCGAGAGCTGATGTCCAGGCAGAGGCTCTGGGTACTTCAATCCTAAGAAGCCTTACATGCTATGTGCAGTGCATTGAAGCATGTATGAGGGCCCTTGTATTTGTGCATGGTTTGATGACACAGGATTAGGCAGTCATAACTACACAGCACTACCATAGCCTCAGTCTCGACACCTAGCTGCACGACTCAGCTTGTCTCCTCTGTCAAAACCTCGTTCAAGGCACTCAGGCCACTTGCATACGCCACAGCAAGAGTGGTCTGGAAATGGCCCCTCGGATCATCGACTCGCTTTAAGTCGAAAATGGGATGGTCGGGCTCGCTCTCCTCCATGATCTCCGCCTGGGCTTTACAAGAGCTCTGTATGCACACCAATTAATACCCCGCATATCATGCGAGCAAGCATGGATTAGTATGTATGTATGTATGTATGTATATATATATATACATAGACATATACGTACATGTGTGAGTGTGCATATCTATGTATGTATATCATATATATATATATATATATATATTTCTTGTGTGTATGTGTAAGTGAGAAAGTCAGTACAGCCAAACATTGATTTCTTCATATGCCATAGACACACACATACATACCTATGTATGTACATATATATATACACACATACATATCTATATATATATATATATATATATATGTATGTAGGTACATGTACACACACATATACATATGTACACATATAAACATATATACATATTTATATGCATGTATGTATTCATTCATCAATGTATGTGTTTATACATATATATGTGGAAAATAACATGATATATGTGTATATATATATACACACAACCACATAGGATTGCATATGACCCTTGCTGGAATATGCCAGTGTCGTCTTCGTATGGCGACAGTGTATAAACACATGTTTAATGGTGCACCCATGCTTCCCTGATGTTGTCTGTGAATAGGTCGGGAACACACAGAGGTGTCATGAACTACTAATACAGAACATCGTTATGAAGGCATAGTGGCCTCTACATATAACAGTATAGAGAATATAGATAGACAGAGATGTAGATAGATGGAATCCGATACAGACTACATGAGCGAAATAAGGAATACCCAAGACGGCCACAGGTTAAGGATGCTATACTTGACGGTGCTTTCGTTTGGGCTCGATATATATTTTGTGTAAATTTACATGCACATAATAATGACTTACATGCATTGCCCCCTTTCCAATTTCAGCTGAAACACAACCTTGAGGACCACCGCATACGCTGCAACCATGGTCATGTTCCAGCTGTCCGGGTAGTCCTTCTTAAAGCAGACCGTGCACAGCTGGGGCCTGCAAGGGTCCAGGAGGAGCTTCAAGCCAACTGAACTTCTCGTCCAATAGGAAGTCAGCTGTGTCTTCTTGAACTCGGAGCGGTGGGCCAGCAGGTGTTTCTTAACCTCATCGAAGGTAGCAGTAGCCATGTTTTTCATGATCAACACGATACGCTTCTTCGTGGACCTGTCCACCCAATCGTCATTCAAGCTGCCATCCTCATTCTGCCACAAGAGCGTCTTGCGGACCACCGGCTTGCCAATCTTGCTCTTCTTCCCAGACTTCGTAGAAGGGCTGCGGCCAGCAAGGGCTTTGGCCTTTGGAGAAAGCTTGCCCATTAGCATCTTGCTGGGGCAGCGGGAGCGGCCCTTGCGAATGACCATGGGGGTGGCACCTGGCACTGGGTCAGGCACCTCCTTCACTGGCCAAGCATCCAACTCCCCACCATCCTCGCCCTGATCCCATCCGAGCTCATGCTCGACGATCCGATTCTCGCCATCATCCGGCACAGGGCGCTTCGCACCCTTCTTGGCCCTGGGCTTCTTGGCCTTCTTGGGCGGCACAGCCAACTCTGCAGATGCAGCCGGAGCTTCATCTGCCTCCTCAGGAAACAGCTGGCGGCGCAATGAAAGATCAGGCTCACCGATCACGGATCCACGGCCCCTTCCACGGCCCCTTCCACGACCGCCACGTCCTCTGTCTGCCCCCTTGTTCGCAGCACTCGCCTTCGCCTTCGCCTCAGCTCGCGCTTTCTTCTGGTCGTTCTTCATCTGCAGCTGCTGCGTGCGAGTGAGAACCTAGCTGAGCTCACATAGGATCCGAATCAAATCCATTTCCCCCTACCTATTCATAGATCCACAGCTCCATCCAAACTCACATGTTATGTGGAACCCAGTCACAACACGATCCGGCTGGGCTGCATCAGGGGCATCATGCACCGGCAGGGGCTCCGACTCCAGAACCTTATATGCTATTTCACACAGGACCCTTCACTGCCACCAGCCAATCAATTAAGCACAGGTGCAGGGATCTCAGTCCCCAAGTCAGGAACCTGCGTCTCCACCGTGTCTGGGTTCTGAACCGAAGATCCTGCAATGCAAGATTACCACTGCCATTTTACACAAGTAGATAAGTATATAGCGTGTGCTATCCAGACCCAAGTCACACGAGCACCACGTATGTCGTACAATCATATAAACGTATATTTCAAGACATGTACCGGTTCATATATATAACCAATACCAACAGTGATGTTAGTGATAACCAAAGTATAGTGCTTGTATATGTATACACATACAAGTATACATATACACATGCATACACACCGCACATGTATATGTAGACACATTACTTGTTCAAGGTACATGCATACTAAGTACCTGCAGACATACATACAGACAGACCTGCATGACTAAAGGCATACCTATACATTGCTGGTACACACCTATCTGCATACATGCATGTACAAGGATGATTACTTTTGCATATAGATATGCCTATGCATGCTGTATACAATTCTAGGTTTATATATGTAGACACACATTCCCTGCAGATGTGCTTCTGTCTATTTGTTTGATACTATAAGTATGTATAAATAATATATGTGTATATATAGTGGTTCGAGTACATGTGTACATAAATGTATTGCTAACATATGAGTCTATACATGTGTAGTCCTGCTGCAGCAGGACACCCAGTCACCACAGGGCCCGGAGCTTCAGCAGCAGGAGGCTGTTGGAGCCTCGGTTTCACTATCAAGCAATGGGGGTACATTCCAGAAAGTCCAGGAGAATGCCGAGAAACTTAAGCTACGAAGGGTACGTGCAAAAGAGAGAGAGAGAGAGAGAAAGAAACAGCGAGAAAGAGACAAACATAGAGGCATGGAGCGAGAGACCCAGAGAGCAAGAAAAAGAGAGAGAGAGAGAGAAAGAAAAATAATTTGGGCATCGATCAGAACAGAGCTGGGATAGAGGGCATGTCGAGCAGCATCCGTGTTGTAAACCATCCCGGCCACGACTGTTTAATTAGCTTACTTAACATGGGTGAGCTACCGATGTGTATGTACTTGTACACTTTGTGACATTGTGTTTGTTTACCAGGGCATGTATGCACACATGTATACATTCGTATGCATGCTTCGTCGTGTACATACATATAAACATATTTACACGGCTGCTATGTGAAGTTATTCCGCATGTAGGCAGGTAAGTGGCAGGCAGGTGGATCAGGTACCTAGGTGTGTGTGTGTGTGTGTGCATACATGTATACATATGTTTTTAATAACTTTAGGTAATACATGAACAATGCATATATTCTAAGGCACTGTGCATTGGTGTAGAGGAGTGTCTACACATACACATATTGGTGTGTAGATGTCTAGATATAGGAGTATATACAGGTGTAAGTATATGTGTGTGCATGTTTGTCTGTGTCTGGGTATGCGGTATGCGTGTATGGTTGTGTGCACATGCACTTGTATGTGCAGTGAGAAAGTCGAAACTTCACGGTTGCATGTAGATGTGCACAAGCCGACATTTCTGTAGAGCAATAACATGATCAGTGGTTATAGAACTGTATAGAGACAGGATACCCACATAGAAATCTAGTGCAACCAATGAAACTCTGCAATACGCTGCTTCTTCTGAGCAATGAGTGCCTTCATGCGCTCCTTCATGGCAGCGAGCTGCTTGCACTTGCCTGCAGCAGCAAACCAATCAGTTTGAACATCACATATATGCCCAATCAAAGCTCACTTTGCTGTTGCACTTAACATGCTATCGAGTTGCACTCCGCAGGAGCCTTCAAACACGTCTCACAGTTGCCCGGAACATGCCAAGCCGACTGCAGAGCCTTGTCAACCTTCGGTACCCCACTGCTGTCAGCACTGTCAATCACCTTTGATCGCTTCAGCGCGGGCTGTGTGGCCTGTGCTTCGGATGGGAGCCCTGCTTGCGATGATCGCTTTGGGTTGGCGGATGACGATCCTGATCCAGATGAGGCTTCGGCTTTCGGGTTCACGGATGAGGCTTCTGCTGGGGGTAGCACCTGGGATGAGGCTTGTGCTGGCAATGGCACATGGGATGATGCTTTGGGTGGGGGTGGCATGCTGGATGCGGCTCCTGCTGGGGCTAGCGGTGGCATGCTGGATGCGGCTTCTGCTGGGGCTAGCGGTGGCATGGTGGATGCGGCTTCTGCTGGGGCTAGCGGTGGCATGCTGGATGCGGCTTCTGCTGGGGCTAGCGGTGGCATGCTGGATGCGGCTGCTGCTGGGGCTAACACATGGGAGGATGCACTGGATGCAGCTTCTGGTGCGGATGGCACAGGCCCTGCTGGGGCTTCCACACGTGACGAGGCCTCTGCTCTGCTTGCAGCGGACGGTGCATGGTTCGAGCCGCTTGAGGCAGAGGCTGCATCCTTTGACCCACGAGGCTGCCCGTCAAGCCAACGACGGAACTCCTCCAAGTCAGTCTCCCCATCGACTGGCTCGTCCTCGTCCACGTCGTTCTCACTGCTCAAACTTCCCGAGCTACGAGCTCGCTGCAAGGCTTCCCTTGCAGCCTGGGCAATATTGGCTTGCCTCATAGCTCCAGCCATGTACATGTCGATGTGCTCCTGCATGCACACTATGTGGCTGATCAAACCAATGCCGTGCTCAAACAGAGCTGCCGAACTGCTGACACATTCAGCCCAGCTGATGCACAAAACTACTCCTGATCGATACACTTCAGTTCAACACTCATGCACGGAACCGTGCCTGCAGGTCAGGCCGGATGGCCAACAGCAACTTGTGAAATCTGGTATCCTGCAACAACCAGAGTTGGCAACATGTTCTACTCATTTGCTAGACTCGCATATCTACACACAATTGAATTAAACACCTGTATCACATGCAATAGGTGGAAAACCGATGCAGTCGATCGTCCTTCGTCACTTCTTTCTTGTTTGCCTTTCTCTTGATGAAAGACAACATCTTCTTGATTTCACCAGCTGTTCTGTAAGCCAACTTTTCAGTGACCTGGATATGCACCTGTCGAAAGAACAGCTCGATCTCCGTTTGCAGCGGGCCCATGTAAGGAAGCTTCAGCTCGTAAGCAAACATGCGGTAAAGGCAAGGAAGCAGAACATCAGAATTTGCAACTGCATTCGCACGTGTGCTGTCGCATAGCTGAGCACCGGGAGGCACTCGCATCAACAGCCCAGTTTGACGGACAGCAGTGCGCACCGAAACGCTTTCCTCCCAAAGAGCTGCAAGCCCTTGAACATCCATTCCATTCCCTTCCGGCTTGGCTGCTGCAGCCATATCGATATAGGATCGATACGTAGAGTGACCCCAAAACTCTTGATCAAAAGCTGCAGTTTGAAACTCATGTTTGCAAACTTAGCACATGCTCTGAAGAATCCCTGGTCCAGGCCGCACCGACGGATCTACATTTGATGCTCGCAAGACGGGCAAAAAAAGCTCAGTTCCCGGCTGATCTGCAGAGATAGTCTGAATTGACCAGGTCGATCGCACCGAGTTCACAGGTGCAGATATAGCATCATGCAAAGATTTGCGAAGTCTCTAATTAGGCGGCCTATCCAAAGACACTCGTGATGAAGAATGTGCATCTATCGGTGCCTCTGGGCACATGAGCTCATGATATATGCAGGACGGTGGTAGCTTCAATAGCAATCCCACAATCATACGATGATCTAGCCTCAAAGGAACCTTCTGAATCTTATGATGCCCACACTTAATAGAAGCTGCCTGCTAACTTCGATTGTGGAAACGGCCACACTCCATGCGACCAAGGCCTGATCTTGGGGTAGACTGGGGTTTCCGGGTTTTTTAAGAGTTGCCAGGCAATTATGTTTATGGGCTGACATTACCGGGTTCTTGGTTTTCAACCCACATAAAAGAAGGCAAAGGACTTAGCAGGTAAACCCCTAAACCCCTAAATCCTAAACCCCTAAACCCCTAAACCCTAAACCCCTGTAACCATAAAACTGCCACACCTTAAGCTCTACGAGGCCTACATCCTGAAGCCCTGAGCCCTATCACAGGCATGCCGGCCACGGCCCAGACTGTCCCCACTGCGCCTCGAAGGAAGTTGTCAGGGATTGCCGCTTCAGGGCGATATGATATCAGGGTTCGGGGTATTTGGGATTTGGGAATTGCAAAAACTCAACGACCTCAGTAACTATGGCGTGGCATGCTTCGAGTGCCTTCACGTACAACGACTTAATATTTTCCACCTTTGTGGGGATTCTGATTGCGATTTGCTCGGGGCTGGGATGGTCTTCTACAGTAGGGTTTCTGGGGTCCGTGTCGGACTTGATACTGGTCTAGTACGAACCAATGAAAGGATTAGCGCAAGATGGGTAAGCGAGCGCAGCATTGTGCCGGGGATCCGATCAGGGATCCGATCAGGGTTTAAAACGGTTTCTGGAAGGCTTCTGCAAGCAAGGGACTACGAGTTACAAGGGCTTCTGGGGTAGGCTTGAGTGTTGCACTCTACGCTACAGCACCGAAGCCCCCAAAAATTCCGTGAGCACCCCTGAACCTTGAACCCTGAACCAAACTGCCCTAACACCCTATAGGCCCTAAATCCTAAGCCCGAAAGCACTGAACCTCACGTAAAACCCGGGGCCCTACACCCTACTCCCAAAACAAGAGCGCTGAACCCGAAATGCTAGCCCAAGAGCCGCCCCATAATGCCCCTTATGGCTATACTTACAGACTCCTTCAAGAGGAACCTGTAAGGCCCCTTATAGGAATGCTTATCAGCTTATAGATCCCCTTAAACGGAATCCCTAAAGGAATCCTATTCTCATTGTTAAGGCCCCTATCCTGAACACCCATAATGCCGTTTAAGTAATCCTTCCAGACCCCTTTAAAAGGAACCCTTAAAGGAACCCTGTTCTAACAAATTAAGGCCCCTACAACACCCTAAGCCCGAAACCCCTAAACCCTACCTTCATGCGGATAAGCCTCAAGCCCGATTCTACTTATCAACTTAGATCACCGATGCCTAACCTTTAAGCTATTTGGGGCTCTTATAGTTGAGTAGGAATCGGAAAGTCTAACCTTTCAGATCTGTGGCTTCTTGGGGTAGTAAGTCAAGGCCCCTTATAAGTAGGGTAACTCTACTTATAACCCATATTAGGGGACTTATAACCCTACTTGTAACTACCCATGAACCTCCAAGTAGGCCCTAAACCCTATACCTCTGCAGAAGCCCTATAGATCCCTCGAAAGGGGCCCGTACTTTCCATGAACCTCCAAGTAGTTGTCAAAACCCCAAACAAGCATCTCGAGGCTGCTCCTTGGCCTCAGTCTGGAGCCACTGAGCTGGGGCCCCAGAAGCCCCTGCAAGCTCTGTTTTGGCGGGCGTGTTTTTCTGCTTTAGTGTTTAGGGGTTTAGGGTTTAGGGGGTTAGGTGTTTAGGGTTTAGGGGTTGGGGGTTGGTTTTAGAGCTTCAGGGTTTTGGAGCTTTACGGTTTAGGGAAGCTCTGTTCGCGAGGATTCTTAGGCCCTGGGTTTAGGGTGCAGTGTTTAGGGTTTCCGGGCTTGGTATTTGTTTGTTTAGGTCTTGGGGCTTAAAGTCAAGGGTTTAGGGTTTGGGGTTTAGGGTTTAGGGTTTAGGGCCTAAAGTTTAGAGTCAAGAGCTGTAGGTTTAGGCTTCAAGGTTTGGGGCTCTTATGCGGTTTAGAGTTGTGCTGTGCAGTCTGAGGTCATGTCCCGGGTTACATGCTGGCCCTAGAGTCCTAAACTCTTAAACTAATGAAGTCCTAAACCCTAATCTTTAAACCCTAAAGCCCAACACCCCATATCCTAAGCCCTATAAAGCCTATGATCCCTGAAGCCCTAAACACAAGACGCTTCCCCTTGAAGTCCTAATAATGAAGTTCTAAACCCTAAACCCATAAACTCTGACAACCCTTATTGGACCCCCTTACAGGACCTCTAACCAAAAAACGAAGGCATCCTGAGAAGCTTTTAGGGACTCTTGAAAGGAACCCTATAACCGCAACGTTTATAGGAACCCCATAGCCCCATTCGAGCTCTTGAGGCTCCAGACTAATGTGCCAGCGACGGGACCTGGAGGCTTGAGGATCAGGGCGTTTAGGGTTAATCTTCCTTTCCCCGGTTCCTTAATTTGATTTCCCGGTATAAGGCCTTAAACAGGTAGGATATTCAGGGTTAAGGTAGCTTGGGTTTTAGGGCCTAGGGTGCAGGAGATAGGACCTTAAGGGTTTAGGCTTGAGGGTGTTTAGGACTTCATGGGGACTCTCAGGGCTTAGCGTCTTGGGTTTAGGGCTTTAGGGATTATAGGCTTTAGGGCTCAGGGCTTTAGGATTACCTTAACCTAGCAAAACCTACAAAAAAGTAGGGTCCCTATAAATTCCGTATTAGGGTTTATAATAAGGACCTACAAAAAAGTAGGGCTTGGTAGTTTAAGGTAGGCTAATTTAGGGTAGAGGGAGGAGGCGGGTTAGGGAGGTCCCTCTTGGGGGAATGAAGGCCCCGCACTCGCCCCCCACACACTCCTCCTTACTGCCCGTGAGAGCCCTTCTGACAACTTTGAGACTTCGGGTTCCTAGGAACATGCATAGCAGTTGAGCAGATACAACCTTTCTGTGGTAGGGAAGCAGGGAGGGAGGTGGGTAGAGGCAGGTGGTTTTGTATATACCTTCAATTCGACTGCCATTTCATGCTTGTTTTTTTTTCCAAGCGGTGGTGGGGCAAGGAATGCAAGGGCAGTTCAGTAAACTCGCTCAGTTGTCGCCTTGATTATAGTGTTCAGTTTGCAAGGGAACCAGAGTCCTTGTTACAGTCCTCGCCATACCGTAAACCGAAACAGGCGAAATCCGTGCAACCTCAAACCGTAATCCTGCAACCCCTTGTACACCCCGCAACCTTAAACCACCCTTTAGCCTGAAAGCAAAGTGGCGAGTGCTTCGGACTTTTGGTCACTTCATGACCTCTTTCACGGCGAGGGCCGGAGGAGTGTATTTCAAATCCGAGCGCCTCGGGACCAGATCAACTCAAGACGATCGTTGCATTGTGCATCAAAGACCTGGGTTTTGGCACGCCCAGGCAGCTGGAGCCGCCACGTTACATGAACATCAACCCTAAACCCTAAACCCTACACCCTAAACCCTAAACCCTAAACCGACGCCCACGCTGTAGCTCGGCAACCCGGGAGCCCTTCTTAAGGGCGACATAACCCTTAGGGGAGCTTGCAGAGGCTGCCTCGACTCCAGATCCCCAACCCAGAGCTGGGAGAGGTGGTGGGCAGCCGAAAGAAAGATGTTTACCTGCCCCTAAGGGTCCAAGTGCCCAAATAGTAGGGTTTCGAAGTCCAAAAACCATTCAGAGTATGGATTTTGGGACCTAAAACCCTACTATTTGGGTACTCGGACCCTCTGGGCTGCACGACAGCCAACAAATAGAACTCCTCACGTTCGGCTGCGGGAAAGGCCAAATCCCAAAGAGTTTGGGGTTTAGGGTTTAGGGTTTAGGGCTAATTAGGTTCTAGGGATTGGGGTTTAGTGTTGAGGGTTTTGGAAAGTTCAATGCAGAACAAGCTGCTGGGAGGGTGGGCTATACTTTTGACCCATAAGTCGTTTAGGATTCATAGGGTTTAGGAGAGGCCCGTAAGTGAAACCTTTACAACTCCGAGCCCGATGCCCCCCTATGTACGGAGAAACATGCTGCAGGTTAACAACTGGTACAAGCAACTCAATCCGGATTCAGGGTTTAGGGTAGACCTCCGATCCCTAAACCCTAAACCGAAACCCTGACCCCCTAATCCGAAACCCTAAACCCTCAACGGTGTGATGAGCCTTTATGGGGGTAGGGCTCTTCTTTTCCGTGCCGGTCAGGCGCACTTCCGAAATGCGACGCTTTCTTGCCAGGTTGTATCGGTCCTGCCTTAAACTACCCCTAGGGCTCCAATGACTTCAATAGTATACAGTAGAAGCCAGAAAGTTGGAACATGGATTTAGGAGGATTAGTGCTAGGATCCCTTATACTTTACTTTATAAGGGCATGAGAATAATGATGTTCCAACTTTCTGGCTTCTACTGTAGGTTACTGGGATACGTAATATATGGTTATATGGTTTATGGTAACCTACTATTTAGGTACCTGGAGCCCTAGGGTGCCATAACCTGCTTTTCGTAGGTTCTTATGATAAGCCCGAATATAGAAACAGTTGGGACCCTATACAAAGGTGTTGGTAATTTAAGGCGTACATTTGTCAGGGCCGTTCATCCATAACTGCCGTAAATTGTTGTTGCAGCAAAACTGTACCT